AGAGAGAGAGAGAGAGAGAGAGAGAGTGAGTGAGTGTGTGTGTACCTGGAGCAGTGGCCAGCCGGCTCAGTCCTTGTGACAGCAGCAGTTCTCTGAGTCGGTTCACTTCCTCCTTCAGTTCTCTGATCAGACGAGCATTTGGATCCTCGTTAATTACAGCGTTACAGCGGATCTGCTTAGCACGGTCAGCATATCTGCACAAACACACACAACATGAAGCACTGAAGAGTCACACAGATGGATGGTTCATCGATTGATTGATGGATTGATTGATGATGTACCTGAGAGTGCTGAGTGTTTCCTCATAATTAATATCTGCAGGACTGAGAGCAGCGATCATAGCCGTACGAGAATTACCACCTGAAACACAAACACACGCTTCATAACCACAACTCTACGTGTGTGTGAGTGTGTGTATTAGTGTTGTCAATATACTTTTATATTGCAATAATTTCACATTTAATTTTCACATTAATGTAGAAACAACATAAAGACAGTATATTTTTTAATATTTGTTTAATGACATATTTTATTTATGACTGAAGGCCAGTATCACTGATACCAATGCTACTGATCTCTCTATAAAATTGTTTTTCCCCGTAATATCTAACCATTGACTACAGGTATTCAACATTACAGTATAATTGAGAGCTATCCATTTTTACATTTATTATACTTTAAAAACAGAACTTCTAATTTAAGCGAACTCACATAAACCCATTATAATAAATGTCATATTTACCTGTGCCCTTCAGCAGAAATATAGCCTACAGAAACTGAAATGGAAGTTATCAAACACTAAATTCTAAATTAAATATAGATGAATCCTTAAAGCTATAAAAGTTCTTTATTTCCTCTTTTTTCTTTGTCCTTTGATGAACAGACATCACAGAAGCTGGTTATTAGGTTGTTTTGGCTGCTATTACTTTAAGAGCTGCCGCTGCTGAACGTGACGCAGATCTCAACTCTTTTCACCTTTTCTGACCCACTTCAGGTCTTAAAGTCTCTAATAATGAGCTGATGAGTTAAATCGGGTGTTAGATGAGTGAGACAGTGCTGGGCTGCTCCAGGACAGTTTTGAAAATCATTTCAGAGACATGTTCTTAAATGTGACTCATATAAAATATATTACATGCAAAGGCAGCTTTAATCGCCTTTTTGGTAATTTCATGACTTAAATGACCACGACATTGCATGCACGTAGTTTAATTTGTGAATTGATATGAAACGTTACAGGCTACAGCACGCGCCGGCACCTTTGTGTGTGCAATTGAAGAAGAGCACGTGCTGCGAGCACAGTACCGTTTCCGCGCTCGCTTGACTCGCGCTGCCACTGAAGGGAAGTGGAGCGCGCGTCTGAAACACTCCAGTTTGATGTGCTCGTAAAGACGTTCTGCGACTGAATAAATGCACTTCTTGCCAGGGGAAAAATGACAGAAACAGCAGTTGTGAGTGAGGTGGCCAACCCTAGTTCCACCCCTGATTTAATTTAGTTAAATATTTTTAAAGCTTTAAACTGAAAAAAATGTATCGCATGCGTTAACGTGTTCAATGTGTGAGTGTGTGTGTGTGTATGAGTGAGTGTGTGTGTGTGTGTGTGTGAGTGAGTGTGTGTGTGTGTGTGTGTGTGAGTGCGAGTGTATGTAGGTGTGTGTGTGTGTGTGTGAGTGTGAGTGTGTGTGTGTGTGTGTGTGTGAGTGCGAGTGTATGTAGGTGTGTGTGTGTGTGTGTGAGTGTGAGTGTGTGTGTGTGTGTGTGTGTGAGTGCGAGTGTATGTAGGTGTGTGTGTGTGTGTGTGAGTGTGAGTGTGTGTGTGTGTGTGTGTGTGAGTGCGAGTGTATGTAGGTGTGTGTGTGTGTGTGTGAGTGTGAGTGTGTGTGTGTGTGTGTGTGTGAGTGCGAGTGTATGTAGGTGTGTGTGTGTGTGTGTGAGTGTGAGTGTGTGTGTGTGTGTGTGTGTGAGTGTGTGTGTGTGTGTGTGTGTGTGAGTGAGTGTGTGTGTGTGTGTGTGGGTGTGAGTGTATGTATGTGTGTATGTGTAGGTGTGTGTGTGTGAGTGTGAGAGTGTGAGTGTGTGTGTGTGTGTGTGTGTGTGTGAGAGAGTGTGTGCTGGGCTCTAAAGTGCGACCATTTCAGTCGGATTTGCGACTGAAAACTACTGCATGCGACTATGAAATAATATTTAATATTTAACACCTGTGCGACTGACCCGGTCAGCATATTTGTGTTTGCGCTGAGGGAGCTTCAAAGGTTCTAATATACGTACGTGTTTCTGCAGCGTTGAGTAATGCATCACAGACGTATCCTCTCATTATAACAAACACAGTGTTGACGGGGTGTAAATAAGAGATTCATTGTGCAGTGTAGAGAGCTTCGTCGCTTATAATGGAGTTTTGAGAGATCGCGATGAACTAAGATGAGTGACAGCTTTTAATGATTATTAAGGGAGTTTGCAAATGTGATA